GCTTGAGTTCGGTTCCTTAGATGAGTGACCCGGATGAACCGATCTTGCGTATGAGTTGTCACTCGTTGCCGTCCGGTACGGGGACGATCAGCAGCAACCCCGGTTTGCTGATGACGTTGAGCAAGTCGTGTAATGGTGGTAAGATGACAGCCCAATTGTCTAGCTACAGCGGTTGCAGAGCTACCTCCGTGCAACTTTCCAATGGTCATTCCCCTCTGCTCAGTCGTTAGTCTAGGCATCGTTTGTGTGGCGTGTACACCTCCTAGCGTCAATACTGAACTGTTTTTTCACACAAACCTTTATAAAGGATACCTCAGAGTGAAATGCATGCTTTCCATCCAGAACCGTCGATGCACGTGCTAAAATTATGGTTTTGCTGCACTGTTGGTGTGTTTGTGCGAATGGTTCGTATGGACGTCAAATTGCATGACATCATCTCATCTGGGATCATTACGTCACTTTACCATGAACGTTCCATAAATCATGAACGCTTACCTTCATGAAGGTTTCATTTTTCGGTCGAAACTTGCGTTTCTTTTAGCTGTTCAGTATAGTTGATCCGTAGGGTAAATCTACGGATACTCGTAAATATCGGTATTATCGTCACAGCGCCATAATGATGGCGATATTGTCATTGTTATGATTAATTGTATCTGTAAGATGTTATCAGCATCATCATCATAGTCGGTTAAACAATGGTTAGACTTGCTGATAGGCGTAATGCTATATGATACATACCGGTTAAATTAGAAGGTGAAAACATATTTAAATATTCTTTAAATATTTTTTTTCTTTTCTGGTAAGTAATTTATTGAAAAGAAAACGAGTATGTTTTTGTGCTGTTGTACTACCATTCCGCTTGACAGACTGCGCCTTCGACAACAGGAACCACACCACTGACACACCACCAGAGACGACGCTGCCAACTACTGTCAAAGACACCGTCGAAGACATCGTCAAAGAACTTATTGAGCGATAAGTGTAGAAGACTTTGCTTCCACTTCACTACACTCGGTTCTAGTATGTCTGCGTCCGCTCGTCACGCTGAAGATCTGGGTTCGATTCCCCGCATGGGTACAACCCCAAGCCCATTTCTGGTGTTCCCCGCTGTAATATTGCTGGAATATTGCTGAAAGTGGCGTAAAACCATACTCACTCTAGTATGTCTATTGTTTTTCGCCACGCTCGGTGATATTCCAGCCGTACACAATGGAGCCCGAACCAGACAATGCGGTGATCAGTACTGGTAGCCTTGTGTTTAAAGCCTCGTCCGTGACGCCGTGTTTCATTCCCCATGAGTGTACGTGGGAGGTGGGGGTAGCCAAGTGGGTAAAGCGTTCGCTCGTCACGCCGAAGACCCTGGTTGTATTTCCCACATGGGCGCAAAGAGTGAAACCCATTTCTGGTGTTCCCCACCGTAATATTGCCGGAATAATGCTAAAAGCGGCGTTAAACTAGATTCACTCACTCACCCATGTGGGTAAAATGTGTGAAGACCTTTTCTGGTATCCCCCCGCTGATATTGCTGGGATATTGCTATATGCGGCGTAAAACCATATTCACTCACTGACACCGCCCACCATAGGTTGCCGGGAACACTGACTGACTGACTGACTAGGAGTTTGGTTTTACGCCGCTTTTAGCAATATTCCAGCAACATCACGGCGGGGGACACCAGAAAATGGGCTTCACACATTGTACCCTGTGGGGATTCGAACCCGGGTTTTCGGCGTGACGAGCCAACGCTTTAACCACTAGGCTACCCCACCGCCCTTGCCGGGAACAAGTTCTAATCCTAATCACCACAGGGTCAGTACGACCGGTAAATGTAATGGCGGAATCTACACATTACATAAGTGTTCATGACTAATCAAGGTATCACATTTCACTGAAGGCCAGGTCAGTCATTTCCACCAATAGCTTATCTTACAAACAAAACAGAAAGTCAAAGATCAATCAAACAATCAATCAATATCAAGTGTCACCAATTCAAAAACATTTCCTGACTTGTAAAGACCACGCGAAAACGTGCAACAAGTGATTCATACACTGTCACTTAAAGCAAATCACTCTCTTTGTGAGTGAAAATACAAACTGCTCACTCCTACGAACAACCATAACATGATCGTGACCCCATGACCTCGGGTCATCGATGTCACATCGGAATGTGCACTCGGCGACCCCAAGCGGGGTAATATTAACGCATGCACAGTGGTACCCTGTAGTGTGGGTGGTAGACTAAGGCTTAGTCTCTGAATATATATAATTTTGATAGATCTAGTAACAAACAAGCCCATTTATATTGAAAAGGAGCCCTAGGGAGACCAGATATTCCTGAACCTGAGGAAATCTAGACTTGCTATATTTAGGGCTTTAGCACTGCAGAGAGAGCTTGGCAGTGGGGAAATCAATGTGGTTCAGGGACTGTGAGACAGACTATGTGGGTGGCAGCGTCTCAGTTTCATGAGTCTTGATGACGTCACTTGGGTACATATTGTCCGTACAGGCTTCGGGGAATGCTATCACCTGTCTCGCGTCGTTTAACCTCTGTGACTGAACATATACGTGAGTCGCATATACATTAATGGGATCAATTAGTTTTCGAGGGGGTCCTTTATTGACAGACTCTGCTTTTTCACCCCCGGGTATAAGTGATTTGATCTTTCATGAAGATCCTGCAAGTGAATGATTAACACACTTTAAGTGTCATGGAAGTGAAATGTTAATCCTTAGGTGGGATGACATTAGCCTTTATAAACCATGTCGTACGAAATGACAACATATTACGTTGTGTTAGACGAACAATGTCTTTTTCGGCAACATGGATTATACGCCCTTTAAGGACAAAGGCCTTGAAGAACACGAGTACATGTATTTTAATTACGTTAGCAGGTGTGTTGGTACAATTAAAAGAGCCTTAGCTTCGACTTCTCATCCCATGATATAGGTAGAATGAGTGAGTGAGTTTGGTTTTACGCCGCTTTTAGCAATATCAGGGCGGGGGACACCAGAAATGGGCTACACACATTATACCCATGTGGGGAATCGAACCCGGGTCTTTGGCGTGACGAGTGAACGCTTTAACCACTAGGGCTACCCCACCGCCCCGATATAGGTACAAGACATGTTACACCCAACACCACACAACCCCTGGCACTACCACATCTTCAATACCCAGACATACCCCACCCCCAGAATATCTCACCCTCAGCATACCTCACCCCAGCATGACCACTCTCAAAACCCTCAGCATATTCCCCTCTTAGTATACCCCACCCCCAGCCTGACCCTCAACATCATCAGCATATCCCCAACACCCTCATCATACCGCACCCTCACAATCCCCAGAATACCTCACCCTCAGCATACCCCAGACCCAGAATATCTCACCCTCAGCATACCCCACCCCTAGAATACCTCACCCTCAGCATACCCCACCCCAGAATTCCTCACCCCCAGAATACCCCATCCCCAGCATATACCCTCAACACAATTATCAGAAGCCTCTCCTGGCATAGTCCACCCTTAACATCATCAACATATCCCACCCCCAGTACCACCGAATTCCCATTCCCAGTCTTAGCACCATCCCAAGACATTCCCAGTCTTAGCACCATCCCAAGACATCACCTCAGCACCACCACTCACACCATCCCACTGTCAACACTCCTTCACAAACCATACCCAACCCTTAGCATACCAACATATCCCACCCCAACCCTCAGCCTCACAATCATCCCCACACCCCAACTCTCAACCTCACAATCATAGCACCACTCACACCATCACCAACACACCCCAACACCCTCGCCCCTCAGAAGCATAGCACCACTCACATCATCACCAACACACCCCAACACCCACCCTCAACCTCACAATCATAGCACCACTCACATCATCACCAACACACCCCAACACCCACCCTCAACCTCAGAAGCATAGCACCACTCACATCATCACCAACACACCCCAACACCCACCCTCAACCTCAGAAGCATAGCACCACTCACATCATCACCAACACACCCCAACACCCACCCTCAACCTCAGAAGCATAGCACCACTCACATCATCACCAACACACCCCAACACCCAACACACCCTCAACCTCAGAAGCATAGCACCACTCACATCATCACCAACACATCCCAACACCCACCGTCAGCCTCACAATCATAGCACATAATCGCACATACTCCCACCTCATTATCAGTACCAATTTCTAATTTCCAGTAACACTACACTATTTTAATAGCTGTTAGTACTTTACTATCTATTTTTAACTTTTGTCTATAAATGCAATATATTGTCTCATAGGCCGTATTGGCCGGATGTTGTACTCAATGTTATGCCTATATTTTATTATGCCTTTTAAGATGTACAACTTGTGACACTTTAATAAACTAGTTTCTTTCTTTCGTTCTTTCTGTTTCATATTGATCAAGGCAATTAGATAATCCTTTTGTTGAGTGACCTGGGCTTCTGTTTCATACACATCCCCATACTATCTTATAAAATACCTACGTAGATCACAACCACTGCCAACATACAGACATCCAGGACTTATCCGTGAATATCATTCAGAGTTCCACCGGATCCATTCTAATATTAGATCATTTCCCAGCTGTAAATTGAACACCATACTCCTCTCACCCAAACAAATAAATCTCAAAGATTATATCTATAATAACTATTTGCTTTTCGGCTAGAATCTGTGCCAAGTTAAGACAAGGTATTAAAGCATTATCCTTAAAGGAATTCCAACACCCCAGTCACTTCAATATACAATGGTAGAATATCAAAGCTTTACTTAAAGTATTCTGGAATTCGACCACTACGCCACGTGATAGAGAAGCTGACACCCCCGCTACCGGGACTGCCGTTGTACCCTGGGAACCCCCGGGGCGAATATCTCACTCTGTCTCACCCAGTGTCACACGGCGCTGAGAGGAGTCTATAGTCTCCGTCGCCACTCACATAAGCCATGCAACTTTGATCCGAGTCGAACAGTCGCCGGAAAATGCGTGTCTGAAGGCGGCATTCTTACGCACAACCTCACAATAACCGATTAAAGAGCTATTTCCTGGTGAGCACTGGAGCGGAACTGCCTGGGTAGGGTCACGTGACCTCTCTTATTCCTGAGGTGTGTTTCCTCAACGAGCGATAGACATCCCCGCATCAGTTGTTGACGTCTCTTTATAACGCTACTGATGGGAGTAGCGGAGAATCACGTACTAGCGGTAAGTCCACTTTCAACCGTCCAGCATCTGATGTAACTATTTCATATTAATAATATATATATTATCAACAGAACATTTTATAATACTATCTGTGTCAAAACTGATGTAGGCATTTTATGTTCAGTCAGTATTATGTCTGGCAGACAGATACAAATTTAATACAATGTCAATATGGTCAATTAAACAACTGAAGCCGACGTATAGATGACAGTGTCACTGAGGTAGATGTGCTGCTGCAGCTGGTATGCGGAGTCAGCTCACTCACAATGACAATATCTAGAACAGTGGTAGTACTGCCGTCAGCCAAGGACAGCATCTGGGTCTATGCTTTTTTACAGAATTGTTTGATCGTTTGTTTGCTGTAGATTTTTAATCAACGAGTGGTCATGTGATACCCATTTAGAAAAGTACAAACGAAATTACGCCAAATAGTAGAACTACCATTAAAACTGTGTATAACCTGGATGTTTCCATTCGTGGAAGGTAATGCTTCCATATGGTGTCTTCTGTCCCTGAAAAATACAACATTATCTCAAAGCTAATTGACAGATGTCATTTATACGGTGCATGGGAGGTACAAAGCACATTGATAGATTTAGGTCCTAGATGAATATGTTATGATAACGATTACTATCATTGACAGTGTTATCATTATACGTATATAGGACAACAACTAATAATTGGTTAATCTGGAACTTTGTTAATCGGGACTACCGAGGGAATGGATTAACAGGGTTTCACTATATGTAATGGTCCTTGTCTTTAAATAATGCCCCGCTCCATCAACTACATTAACCTGCTCGCCTTGATCATCAGTGCGCTACACTAACGTTCAGTCACCGTGACCTATCCCGGTTATTGTTTAATATACATATATACGCTCTACCTCAAAGCGGGTATTGATTTTTCATCAAACTAGTGTCACAGCCGTTAAACTCAACACAAATATCTCATGATCACAGACCTATACATTGAATACAAGTACAGACCGGCTAAATACTAAACATCAGCATACATGAACAAGTATATATGTAAAACAACTGGTACGTCCCTAGTCTGTCTCACAGTCCCTGAACCATATTTTCCTTACAGCCTAGCCCTCCCTGCAGTTAATGATCGGAAGCAAGTCTAGATTTCCTCGGGTTCTGAATCTCTGGTCTCCCTTGGGATCCTTTTCAATTTAAATTGGTTTATTTGTTACAAAGAAAATTATATATACTGAACAACATTTGAAACGCACCGCCCATATCATACGAAATATCCCCGTCAGACTGAAATGTACTCATGATATCTGAGCATCGTCGGTGCATTTTAGTGTGGTGCGTTTCTAATGTTGTTCAGTATGTTAAGAGACCAGGCGTTAGTCAAATATGTCCCCTGTAGACAAAGTATGCAGCTATAATCAACACGGGTTATATAGATGTTAGAACCACATGCCTACAAAGTTATTCATTACACAATGCCTAAAATAGCATTTGTTCAATGCAAAAGGCAAAATCCAAACCAACTCGGTTTTATAACAGTCCTAATGGGATTTATCTTTATACAAGAAACATAGATTTATTTTTACACGAAAGTGTCCAAAATATTTTCGAACCTGTTTTAATCATATTTTAACTGACGTCAACCAAACCAAATTATTATGTAACCCGATATCGCCTTGATTTAATGATATGTAATTTATCGGCCGCCGTCTTTAGCAACAATACAACCTGAGACGTCAGCCGTGCAGCGACGTCGACAGGACAAAGGCAGCATACACTTGTTGAAATTGTTTCACATCGTCACGTCGCGTACCAGTGATAAACGCTGTAGGAATTTGTTTGTGTAGTGAAATGTGTATGCACCTGTCAGCTGTACTGATAACATACACAGCTTGCATGTCGCTATGTGAAATATGTGATCAATGTCAATCAATTGGTGGGGCTGGGATGATTGTATAAGTTAAACGTAATGGTTGAACCTTATCGTAATGGTTGAACCTTATCGTAATGGTTTAACCTGGTTGTGTTTAGTAAAGGAGAATACGAGTGAATTGCAATAATTTGCTTGGTGAAAGATAAAGTCATCAGAAACATATTCCCAAATTTTCAATTACAAATTATTTTGGGCTGTGGGGTAGCCTAGTGGTTAAAGCGTCCGCTCGTCACGCCAAAGACCCGGCTTCGATTCCCCACATGGGTACAATGTGTGAAGCCCATTTCTGGTGTCCCCCGCTGTGATATTGATGGAATATTGCTAAAAGCGGCGTAAAACCATACTCACTCACTCACTTACTATTAGATATTACAGTTTAAGTTATGAATGAGTATTTACTAAGGTTAAAAGTGAAAACGAGTAAACATATACTTAGAAGGCAATCATATTAATTATGTTGATACATATTAAGTATGTTTTGGGCGTAGGTGGTGGCTAAGGTTTACGCTCGTCAAAGGTCCTGGTTTGATTCCCAACGTGGATACAATGAAGCAAATTTCTGGTGTCCCCCACCAAAATACGGAAAACATTACACACTCAAATATATGATATACCGTCGTTGACTCGAACTGAAATATAACTCGATTTATCATTTAAACTCCTAAAACCACTCGCTGTAGGGGCAAGATAACCTTCCAACCTGTATCATGCAAAGTGTTATCTATATATCGCTTTATATCAGGGTGTGTACCTTCAGTACCCAATGACTGCAGAGACAATTAATGAGAACCTTGTTCATGCTGACGAGGCAACTATCAGTTCTGGAACTGCTTTGACTGCGGCATAAAACAATATATAATCACTAAAGTGATGTAAGTGCACGCTGGTTTAGAAATGATGGGAGGTATCTTGTCATTCATGCCCGTAAGGTGTTGAGAGCAGAGAGAGAGAGAGAGAGAGAGAGAGAGAGAGAGAGAGAGAGAGAGAGAGGAGAGAGAGAGAGAGAGAGAGAGAGAGAGAGAGAGAGAGTGAGTGAGTGAGTGAGGGAGGGAGACACTGAGAGAGAGAGGCGGGGATGACTGAGAGAGAGAGAGAGTGAGAGAGAGAGTAAGCGAATATTGCTGAAGAAATTGCAGAGAGAATATGTGAGTGATTATTGAGTGTAATGTGTGTGTGGAGAACAATAATTACGTACCGTAATTGAACAACTAATTTGGACTCTTAGGAATACTTATTTAAAAATCAACATCTGCAGAGGATACTGGGGTTCTTTCTGAAAAGATAGATCTTCCCCCTACCGTACGTAACTAAACCCAATACGAGATGACCACACCCTGATCAAATCCGTCATCAAAGAATCACCATGTATGGTAATAGGGTCTATTTGAAACACGAAGCCTGTTCTAATTACACGGTCCAATCACTCACTGGATTAATTCCACGGTTGGTTGAACGTCTGAATGCAATTGTTCACGTGTTACGAAACGGGAGGTGCGAAATACCGCACCAAATGTAAGTAGAAGCACTTGGTCCAACCACCTCCTAATACATAACAATCTGTCAACACCGTGGTAGATCCTAAACAGTCTACACCAGGTGCCAAATGATTCGCGTCATAGCCATTGTGTTCTTATAGCCGGACCACAGACGCTATTGTATATATTCTGTTCTTACAGCGAGGAACCCTACACACTATTGTCTTCTTAACATGGCGCTAAGGACTGCAAGAGTGTGAAATCAACAATTGTTGTTTTGCATTTCACAACGTTTTGGTGCCAATATGCTCTGCGTGTCTAAAACGCCATGTTTGAAATGAGTTTGTTCTGGCGAAAGGCTGTGTAATGATTGCGGAACAGTGTGGTGTTTAAGAGTTGGGAGTTACGTAAGACAAACTTGCTGTGAACGATACCTCGAGGATCTGTTATCAAAATGTTTTTAAACGGATGCAGTTAACACGTCTTCAGAACAAATGGAGGGCTGTTCATAACGACGGAGCATTTTAAAGCGTTATTATAGACTTTGGCTTGAAGGAAGTGACATCATTGACGTTCAATGTATCACGACGCAATTGTTTATACAACATTGCCGCTAAATGGTGAACTAGTAATATAAGGAAATTAAGCTTAAACGCATCAGAGGTAAGTACACGGGAAGGGTTTCCATGGAAACCGGCTCATCTATATTTAGACAGAGGAGCATCTTCTGCCTGCACCTCTTCGTTTCGTCAGTTTAACAGTGGCTACCATCTTACTTTCAGCGGCCGAACAGCCGGCTTGGAGAGGGGAGAGGTTCCGTCATGGAGACAATATGGCTACAACGGTCGGGACCCAATGTCCCATGGGGGTTCCGACTTCAAGGGGGTCGAGAGTTTGGACAATCACTGGCTATTCAAAGGGTAAGTCCCAACCAAGACTCTCTCTCTCAACATCTCTCTCGAACTAACCCTTGACGCTTCTCATTACGCATGTCTGTCTAAACATGTTTTACCGTTTCTGTAAACTCTAGGGTGAACAAAGTCAAGATTTCTAAACAAGATTTGTTTTACGGCGTATGATCAAAACACAGGTTCAGATTCTGTCTTTCTCTGGCCATTAATTTGTGCTCATCGCCTCTGATGAAGAGATACCAGAAGACTCCCATCATATCGTATTTCATTTACATATATGATATATGATCGTGCCTAGGTCGTTGTTAATATTTTCAAGGTCAGCCTCTCATAGGTAAAAGAGCTAAGAATCTACTTCATGTACAGTATACAGCAATTTCCTCTCCTCTCAGGTAAAATTAAGTGATTAAACTTTGACAGCTTTGAGTGCACCGCGAGGGGTAACCGGATACCTATAGACAGCGTCTGTCGCTCGCCTTCCCCGAATTCTTGCCCCTGTAGTTGGAGTGAGAAGTAGCGAGGGGGTCCCATAGCAGAGAAATATAATCTGGAACAAGCGTAACCCATGCCCGATAACGATAAGGGGGGCATTTATACTTGGCGCCGTAACATCCCCGTAACCTGTGCCAGTTTAACACTAGAACATTGTTCTGAAAAGATTTCATTAATATTCCCAAAGCCTTGAAGTGGGACGAGACAAGGAATGTTTTCACGCCCCCACATTTCAGTTTCCTCCACAACAAATTCCCTGGCTCTGATGTCTGCGATGACGAAAATAGTCTCTAAGTAAACAAGTGGCTGGCGAGTTAAAGTTATTGATAGGGATACCATCTATTACAGGTCTTGTATCTACGTGTGATTGCACTGCTGCTCTCCTAGTCTGTCTCACAGTCCCTGAACCACATTAATTTCCCTACTGCCAAGTCCTCTCTGCAGTGCTAAAGCCCTAAATGAAGCAAGTCTAGATCTCCTCAGGTTCAGGAATCTCTGGTCTCCCTAGGGCTCCTTTTCAATATAAATGGGCTTGTTTGTTACTATCAAAATTATATATATTCAGAGACTAAGCCTTAGTCTACTGCTCTCCTTGCGCTGCCGGTGGCGGAGGGGGGGTCGGAGAAAATGGGATTGTTGACCTGTGGGGGTTATGTAATTTACTCTGGGGTGGTAAAGGTGAAAATCGAGGGCTGTTCCCCAAAGAGGCTGAGTGCTTAGTGACAAGGATTGTGTACGCAGGGTAAAAAAATTGTTATGTTCAGACATACTAGTATTTGACCTGAGCCGTGTAGTTGGTAACTCTGAGGCACCCAGTGAAGGTAGATTAGACGAACATTGTGCGCATACAAGACGTATTTAGGCAAAGCAAGACTACAGTCCTATAATGTTAGCACAGGTCATATTTTCAGATGTACTTGAATCATCACCACATCACCACCATCATTATCATCGCCAATCATCATCATCGTCATCATCATCGTAGCCTATATAGAGACACCGGTATGGCTGAAGCTAAATCAGTGCCAGAGTTGGTGTAAATTGAATACTATCGAGATTGGTTGCTGAAACTGACAAGATGATGAGTATCTAGTAACTGATACACGATTCACATCCCTGAGGAAGGCATATTTCCGGGTTGTGTGTCACGCCAACTGTTGGGTTCTGAGTGGTACCGACTACTGTTAACTGAACCTCAAAATGTATGTCGTTGCTACAACTCTGCCGGTGTATAAATCTGGATATGAGATACTGAAACCTTGAGCGTTCTGGGCATTTCTTGTAGATATGCAAGATACATTTGGATTTTTTTAGAAATACCTCTTAACTCGAGGCTCGCTGTTTAGAAATACCCAAGTATGATGTGCAGAATACAAAATAATAAGCTGGATCGCCTCCGGGCAAAACGTCATTGACATATTGTGTTTACGACATGATGCTTATCAGCCATTACAGTCAACAAGCTGAACACACACTGGTCCAGTGTGGATTATGTCTGATGTGATCTGGCGTGGAGCGTTAAAGGGGTGTGGAGTGTTAGTGCAGGTAGGATCTTATCATATAAGGCTTTATTAGCTGATCAAGTATACTTCTGCGTCATAAGTGTTGACTGTATTAAACTGGGACCAGAACAGAATTCAGCTTTCTGAGTATCCAACAACGAGCGTCGGTGGTCTCAGTATGTGGCTGTGAATCGTGATGCTGCTATCAAACACTGATTTGGCCGCCCAAGGCTGGGTTATTTTGCAGCTACCGTGACAAAACTGGATATACCACTATATACTTCAGCATTTAGACGTTGTTATAAACACCAATTGATAAAAAATAAGATTCCCAAATTACATACACTGAAATCGTGCCACAATGAACTTGCTCATTACGTCGTCTGTGTCAAGGTTTGACTTTAACAATGGCTTAAGTTTCAAATCTTACAACTTAAGATCATCTGAGTGCTAATGTTAAGTTAACCGATGACTCAATGGACATCTAGATATGGTTTTAACTCCATATCATCATATCGAATGCCTTTGTAGGGAGGGGGATTGTGTTTGTTTGACGTAAAAATAATTGTTGTTGGACGTGGTTGATATGGAAAACATGTGCTGCAAAAGGTATATAATTGTTCATCTCAAGCCTGTTTTAATTATTAAATTCATATTCCGTCTTCTCCAAGCTGCCCCGGTCAGTTTGAAACTGTCTCCTTGGTCACTGACTTCAAGCGATGGATGACTCTTGCTTCTGCTGGTCACGGGCCTTAGGACCAGCAGCTATAGCGACTCAGTAAACTTCTCATCCTCAACCACTGGCATCTGCTGTTTCTACTGGTCACGGGTCTAAGGACCAGCAGCTTTGTCGACTCAGTTACGTTTCTCATTCCCCACGTCACTATCCTCTGCTGTTTCTGCTGGTAACGGGCCATAGGACCAGCAGCGTTGTCGATTCAGTACCAACGTCCACGTTACTGGCCACGTCCCCGTGCTGGTACTCAGTAAATACCTATATATATATATGCAACGTTCTGAGCCAACATACTCGCCCATTAGTGTCACAGCTCCCTTCGAGTCTGTGCTCGGGACTAACATGCATCTGCATAGTACATTAACACAGTTCATACAGTCTCAATGTCGTACCCGGGTACAAGGAGACATACATACAACGACACGAGTTTTTAACAGAACAGGACCGAGATGATGCACATTCTGGGAGGATCTGCCGCATGGCTGACTAATACATTTGTCGTTGGATGCTCGCCAGTACCTATTACCATGGCAATGACAGCCTGGCACTGGTGCATGGAGACCTGTCACTCGCTCTTTCGAAGATGATTTCAATGACTTCCAGCTATTTCGATCCCTGAATTATATCCCATCCACGGGGATATTTACATCCCTTGCAATACGAGTCCACTTGGTCAAACGTTTCAAGTTACCCGTGGACTCTTCGCACAGGCTTCTTCAAGGACTTGGTAACATCGGCTGGTGTCTCGACATACGCAGAATGAGTCGACGCGGACTTAAAATAGCTGTGGTGAGTTAATGCAGATTAAGAGTGTTAGTACAACAATCACTGGATTGTCTGGTTCAGACTCGATTTGTTTACAAACAACATCATACAGCTGTAATACTGCTGAAACAAATATTTACTGATGATAAAGTCGCAATTGTACAATCGACTCTGCTTTTAGCAGAGATTTCTTATGGGTGTGGAAAGGGTTTTTGTCGCGTCTATCTATTGATAACTTTTGTATGCCATGATGCCAATGCATTTCTCTCATATTTTAACTGACGTCAATCGAACCAAATTATTATGTAATATGATGTCGCCTGGTTGTAATAATGTGTAATTTATCGTCCTCCGTCTTTAACAACAATACAAACGGAGACGTCAGTCGTGCAGCGATGGCGATAGGACAAAGGTAGAGTCCTTGTCGAAATTGTTGTAGCCTGTCTCACGAACGCTGTTACGTACAAAGGGTTGCCCCTACCGTCAGCACCTCCACACCACACCCAGCGCTTGCCTCTGCATTTACAGTATGTCGGCCTGACTTTACAGATATACGGAAGATTATTATAGAGAGGCTGTGAGAGCTAGCGTGAGCAGCAAAATGTGAAAATATCTTATTTCAATGAGGAAAGGTATTGCCACTATTATCCCTGGTTATTTCTTAACAGAACATCTAAACATACCAACACATAACACTGACTCGTTTGTGTGTTTTTTCAAAAGTTATTTTTGGATTTCCAGACGCGGATTTAACTCCTGGCAAGCACTTGAGACAAGAACATGGGACTGAATTAGATTTCGCTTTATAAAAGTAATTTTTTATCTTTTCTGGCTTTAAGTGTGCTTCACCCTTGGCACCGGTTCTGTAACCACATGTTAGGCAATATCCTCGCAGGCAGCCATGACACTATCTGGTGATTGATAAAAGCCAGAATGGAATTTATTCCGAACTAAGATTCAGGCGAAACCACCGTACCTGCTATATCTAAGGTGTATTCACTTTGTGTAGGAAGTCTCGCGGGATGCTGAGCGCTCAGCCCGGGGGACGGTAATCAAACTACTTGTGGAAGTGAAATGTGGCTCAGACCTCTAATATTTCAGTATTAGCTGCCGAGTTATCTTAAGGAGGTGATAGATGTCTATACGATGACGTGCACACCCAAAGATAACCACCCAAATATGTCTATTTGTTTACTAATATTCATGTTAAAAATGTAATAACAATGTTATTCCACGTCAACGCCAGAGAAAAGTCTCGATTATCTCCCAAACAGAGGCCAATGGGCGCAAAAGACAAAATAGCAGTAAAGGTCAGATGACATCAAATGATGCATTAACATATGTTTGTACACGTCGTGTGGAATATTTCGATCATAGTGAGTGAGTGTGTTTAGTTTAGTTTTACGCCGCACTCAGCAATATTCCAGCTATATGGCGGCGGTCTGTAAATAATAGAGTCTGGGCCAGACAATCCAGGGATCAACAGCATGAACATCGATCTACGCAATTGGGAT